TTAAAAGCTCGCGCCATCATAAAACTCGTTCCCATTTCCCTCGCGGTAAAAATTAACTATATGGAGCTACCTTAATACTCGTGAAAATGGAATAGGTATGCGAAAAAGAATTGTCGCGCGATTTTATGAAGATCCACATAGTCTTTTTTTTTCTTTTTTTTTTTTGTACTGCAATATATTACAAAACATGAATCGAAACTAACAAAATGATCGATTGTTTTTAGCAAAGTACGACGTTTTAATTAACCCCTACCTGTACTGTATTTCCTATACAGTCCAGAATGGAGTACCGAAGTTACTAAAAGTTACCGAAGTTAAAAAATTCATTTTTAGGAACTTTAGGATTTCAGTGGTGATAAAATCAGAAACTGCTTGTAAAATTATGATATAGAGGGGAATTTAGAGTGATAGAGCAAGAAACAGTTAAGATATAGGGAATTTAATGCAAAAATATCACCATACTTTTTCTCTTCTTTGGTGCTTTAAGGAGGCAGCATGGTCGGTGGCCACTAGCTGAGACYGTATTTGTTCCGATTCCTGATTAGTTCAGATTCAGTTTCTCGAMCATGCTTGTTAATAGCCAACTGGTTTGCCTCCTTGCCAGTTGGGATTCTTAACACGCTTTATGTTCATTTAATCTTTCATTTCAGTTTATTAATCGTAGRAGGCCCATAATGGAAACTACTGGGTCACCAGTAATGTATGTCACCCTCGTTAAATAAAGTCAATTTATTTATTTTATTTTATTTTTTTGCTGGTTCTAACTTGATTGGAATCAGTGCAAAATCGGAGAAAATTTATAGTTATTYTTTGACCTCTTAAAAAATCTGCAGATCTCCATTTGCCACAGCTCGCAACGGCTTTAAAGTTGACAGAAGCGTCGAAATTATGATATTTCGTATGTTTCGAATATGACGTCAYACTTCGGTACTCTATTATTTTAACTACGATTATGCCTAATAAGCACTTAGCATTTATWTTTTAATAGCACCATCACGTTATRATCATGTTCAGGTATGTTAAAGTTAATAAAAAGGGTTTTACACCAGGGATTTAAATCATTTCGCGTCGTTATTTTTCGCGGGACTTAATTTCGCAATTTAGTATCAATAGTGTACTGTTTTACTAATTCACACTTACAACCATAGGAGGTTTGGCTATGTGTTACATTTACAATTTCAAGAATCGCTATGCTATATGAAGTACAATATTAGATTGACRAATTTGAATGAAAGTGCCGGACGTTTGGCGGAGTCTTGTAAAGTTAACTAACTCACCTGCAAAAGATGTAGTTATATTAACGAAGAATATCAACCCAGTTGCGATGACCCGGAAATAACGAAATTTGTAAAACACTCCTTCCATCTTGTTGTTCTGAGAAGAAAACGGCTCATTATGAAAAATGGAAAATAGATATCAAGGAAAACGTTATGCCAAATAAATATCAACAATTACTCGTACTCTCGCAGTATTAGAACGATAAAAAAAGAGTATAAAGTTCCTCGATAGCAATATAGGTTTAAGAATTGAACATCTTAATTGTGATGTCCATCAGTGACGTTTTACCATTCTTCGTAATGTTAACATACAAATGAGTTTAACGATAACACACTGACTATCTTACTACTACATCGTTCACATACGCAGACGGTGTGTTAATCTCAACCAAGAAAACCCGTAGCAAGTAAGCAAACGAGATTAAAGGATCGAACACTTACCGAATAAGGAGCTCGAGCATTCAACTAACTAGAACTCTTGATTAAATAAATGCAATACTTTGGGGATATTAATATCCATTAACTATAAATTCCGCATAGAAACGTTAACCCTTGAGAGGCACTCGAAAATCTGAAGSCATATCCAACATAGGCAGGTTCAGCTCTTACTATAATGATACAAATCAGTTCTTCTCGTTTCTTTTTGTTTATAGAAATTTTCTTTCTAGATCATTTACTTGATAATTAGAGAAAATAAACTACTTTATTTCCAGTAAAGTTTTAATCCAATCATTTTCATGTAGTGATATATATTAGGACAATTTAATTGRCTATGCTGTTGTGGTGTCCCTGCCCTCATGGGAAAAAATGTCATAAATCTTAAGACTCTTCCCTCGCTGCAAACGTGTTGTATGTGATATTCTGCATGAACGATATTCGTGACAGCTACTTAATTGACTTGAGCTGCGGATTCGATAGTGTACTTTATTTGTGAGACCGGAAAACGAAAAAATGCTATAAAATACGTTAAAAACATTAACAAGGTGTAATAACTGGCTTATTTCCAGCTCTCCCTTAAGTTTTACTACTAATAATATTATTCATTTATAACTGAGTTCAAAATGCTAGTTCTGTTGTGATTAGAYTTTGCTAATTAAGACGTCAATAARAGCGGTAATCAATATCAGAAGTTAGGCTTTAATATTGATAAGAAAGTATTTATWAGAAAGTRTTTGACATTTCTCAAGGATTTAATATTCTCTATAAGGTATATTTGACATTTCTCAACGTTTTCTCTTAATAATAGAAGACGACTTCAACTCTATCAATCAACGAAAAAACTGGGTCGAGCTGGCATTGCATGCGGTGCATTCTAGGGCTGTCTTAGGAGACATTTTTCCAAGATGGCGACAATTTTGTCCCTAAAATAGCCCYAAAAAGCACAAATGCCAACTCGACCCGGTTTTCCCTCAACTTCGGTATGGCTAATTCTAGTCGGTATGGCTAATTCTAGAGTATACCTGAAATTCAAAGAACGTTCGCTTCAGAATAAAAAGCCTGAAAGTAAATTCTGTTTAGTGAATGAGTGAGAACACTCTAGCAGGATTTGAAAGATATTTCTTTCACTCTTTCAAAGCCACGCGTTGATTGACACAAAATACATCTAATAATGCTACAAGTTCTTATCGAA